CCCTCCTTCCCTGCTTTCTCCCCGTAATCCTCTCCATCTCTACCCTCATTCCTTTCCCTCCTCTCCACTAACCCCTCCTCTCTTCCTTCCTCCCCTTCCCTCCTCCAGATCAACTTCCCTTCCACTTCCTTAAACACTCTTTCAATGATTTCCCACACTTTTCCACTCATATACCTTTCTTCCCTCCTCAGAGAGCCCGTCTACTAGCTCGGCTGCATATTCATGGGCTACAGGACATGGTACAGGAACGGAATCTGGAACCAAAGACATAGGAGACACATTAGTAGCACAAACCGAAATCCCAAGGTTACTTCTGTCCTTTGGTCAACCTGGTGATCTTTCCACTCTACCCCTGGGTCACCCCTAGAAAGCATATTCCTGCTCTGCTTCCGGTTCTCCCGGTTTTCCCCTTCTAATAAACCTTGCACACTCTGTGGTCTTGGGAATGAGATAAGCCGATTGCAGTCTTCACCCTGAAATAATCTTACAATATTCCACCCTTCCATGTCACTTCCAGCACAGCTGCCTTCATCGTTTACACTGCCCACGCTAGAGCCATCAATAGAAAGGTCCTCCAATTCATCATCGCCTTCATTGCACTTACTCAGCCATTTAAATTTTTTCTTCTCATTGTTGTAGCTCCACAAACCACTATTGTCTCCTTTCAGCCACCTAATCACCACCTCCGAGTCCCCCTCAATAACTAAGCATCTGATGCTTAATTCTCTTGCTCTTTGGATTCCTTCAAAAACTGCTAGAATTTCAGCCCTAAGAGAGTCACCCTCTCCAATTGGCCTAGAGAACATGGCAATAATATACCCCTCCTCATTCCTGAACACACCCCCAATCCCAGGAGGCCCTGGATTCCTTAAGCTACATCCATCAAAATTCAGTTTTATGAATCCAGCGGGAGGGGGGTCCAAGAGGGTCTATAGGTCCTCTTACAAAGAGCAGCAGTAGCTACCTCTTTCCACTTTCTCAACAAGTCAGCCATAGAAAATTCAGAGAATATCTCCATAGATTTCAACCAGTGAGCTACCCTTAAGTGTATCAAATCTATTAGGTTTTTTGTGGTTCTTTCCTTGTTTGAAAAAATTCATGAGTTTCTTTCTTCCCATATTGACCAGCACACTACAGCCCTAATGCTTCTCCACATAACCTTCCCCCTTTTCTTAGGCCATCTAAAGAACGAGGGAGAGAACAAGCATTGCACACTCACGGGGGGATTCCAAGTACACCCAAAAAGGAAAAACATCCACTCCCAAACAGTCTTAGTAACTAGACAAGTTAACCATAATGTGGTCACCCGTTTCCCCATCAGCTTTGCAAAGAATACACCTATTGGGAAGTAAACAACAATTGGGCCTCTTTCTTTGAAGCAAGTCATTTGTGTTAACTCTTTCCAGGAAAATTTCCCAACAAAAACTACCAACCCGAGGAGGAATGGGTTTGCTCCAAATCTCTTTAACAAGGAATGACAACCCAAGAGGAATAGTAGGTTGAACTAATGTCTCAAAAAACAAAGCTCAAGAGAAGGAGCCAGAGGAGGAAGGGGTCCAGATTCTGGTGTCTTCCTTACCGAGGTTCAAGATGAAATACACCCCAAATTTGTATCCCTAATTGCCCTTCTCAGGCCCAAATTCCACCCAAAACCAAAAGAAGAATCAAAAGGAACTAAGAAAAAGGAAATGGGTTCATTTTTCAAACCTGACAAAGCAAACAAAGAGGGAAATTGGTCTCTCAGGGGTAAGTCGCCAACCCAAATTTGCTCTCAAAATTTTATTCGATTACCGGAGTTCAGATCATACCTAATCCAAGGGGAGAAAACTGGAAGCAGATCATGAATGGCTTTCCACAGGGAAGCGGCAATAGCCCTTGCCAAAATTCCTATATCCCAGTCATTCTCATCCAACCCATGTATGCTAGCCACAATCTTCATCCACAATTTGTCCTTTTCCAATGGAAACCTCCACAATCATTTCCCCAACAACGCCATGTTTCTTTTCCTAATATTCCCAATCCCAAGCCCCCCTAGCTTCTTGCTCCTAGTTACCACTTCCCAACTCACCCTATGGTCTTTCTTCTCCACTCCCGGTTCCCATAAGAAGTCTCTCATTAATTTTTCCACCCTGTTGGAGACCTTTGTGGGAATCTTAAACATTGACATGAAGTAAACAGGAAGATTAGATAGGATAGATCTAATCAAGGTGATTCTCCCCCCTAGAAAAAGATAATTTTTCCTCCAAGAAGCAAGCCTTTTCTCAATTCTCTCTACTACCGGGTTCCAAAAGCTTTCATTCCTGGGGTTATCTCCTAGGGGGAAGGCCCAAGTAAATGATAGGCCAATCCGAGATTGCACACCCTAATACACCTGCACATTCACTTACTTCCCTCTCCTCCAAATTCACTCCCACCACACAACTCTTATCGAAGTTCACTTTAAGATTAGACATCTGCTCAAAGAGTTGTATTGTCAATTTTAAGTTTTTGATCCAATTTAGATCCCCACCTTCACAAAACAGGGTTGTGTCATCTGCAAACTGCAAGTGTGTAAGTGGTACTTCCCCCCTTCCAACTCTCCATCATTTTATTAAGTTTCTAGAATCAACTCTATGGATCAGTCTCCCCAAGACACATCTGCAATCAGAGTGAAAAGAAAGGGGGAGAGCGGATCACCTTGTCTTATTTTTCTCACGGCCGGAAAGAAATCCACCACAGTTCCACTCACCAAGATCGAATAATGGCAACTCTTAATACAACCCCAAATCCATCCACACCATCTGTCTCCAAAGCCAAAACTTCTCATCACCTCCATCAAGAAGGACCAGTCAACTAGGTCATAAGCCTTCTCTAAGTCTAGTTTGCATACCACTCCCTTCTTCTTGGATTTCCTAAAGCTCTCCAAACTCTCATTTGCAATCAGAATTTGATTAGTGATCTGCCTTCCCTTCACAAAAGCTCCTTGGTTGGGTGTAATAATGGTTGGAAGAACCAAAAAAGGAACAAGGCCCCTGCTAACCTCTCCCCCCCCCAAAAAAAAAGAAAAAAACCACCCATACTAGGTCCCACTTTCTGCTTACATACTACAATCTCCCATCCTGGGAGACAATCCCCCAACACAATTAATTTCTATTCACCCCTTATCTTGCCAATGCATCAATTCAAGTGAAGGTTGTCATCAATTCAAGTGCCAAGTATTTCACCTCCTTCACAATATGGCTATATTCCAAAGAGCCCATGCTGTTCTTGAACCAATCCACTATTACTTAAGAGTCTCCTTCCACCACTAAATCTCTATAGTTCAAAGAATTACCCAGTCCAAAAACATGTAAAACAGCCCATTTTTTCCTCTTGTCAAGTCCCCAAGTCCATTGTTTCTATGTTTTTTTTATTAGTGTGCATTCCATTGAAGTAGTGGGACACCTTTTCATGCATCTGGAATCATCTTTCCCAACACTTGTCACTTCATTTCAGACTGAAAACAACAGCTTGCATTAGCTCCAATAGTTTCACCAGCAAAACTGTCTTCCAGTCAGTCCCTCAGTTCAACCTCTTCTTTTGGAGTAATTAATTCACAACACAGATTTATATTGATTCCAGTTCTTGAGTCCCTAGTTTCAAATGCCACCACACAACTTACAGCTATTCTACAACCTTTCTGACAGCCCTAACTTCTCTCTGGTCTCTCCTGTTATATCTCTTTTTTCCTAAATAATTTTTTTACTGGCATAAAAAGGAAAGAAAAGAAAAAAGAACTCATAGAAATCTAAATATCAATAGCAGGAAATTTGACCATGCAGCTGTAGCACAGGGACTGCAAGGAATTGCTGAATGGTGAATGCCACTGTTTGACAAGCCACAGGAAATTCTCTTACAAAAAGAACCTCAAGATAAAAGGCTTGCCACGTTTGCAGCATACATAATTACAAATACTGGAGGCATAAGAGAGTGAAAGAGGTATGACACATTGACACTACAACCCCTTGAAAATTGTCATGTATTGTGCATATAAAAGCATTTCTTAACATCCAGACATATAAAAGCAAAAAACGTTAACCTACTAGGTCAGCAACAGATCCACCAGCCATGTATTCCATTATTATCCATAGCTTGGTTTGGTGGAGATAGGAGCCATAGTACTCGGTAATATATGGAGACCGACACTGGGATAATACTGAAATTTCCTGAAAGAAAAGCAATTTAAAGTGAGAAAAAATATCCAATTTCATCAAAGAAATATTCCACTGTCATTTTGAATTTGAAACACACGCAGAGAAGAAAAGAAGAAAACCTTTTGAATGTCTTCAATTTCATCCTCTCTGCACAAGACCAAGGACAATGGACTTAGTGAAGGCAATGACAAAAAGGCCAGATAATACATCTTAGAGTTCAAGGAAAGATAATATTGTATAAAACACAAATGGAAATTCAAGTTAAACAGAAGAATCACCAAAAGAATATAATGATTATATTACACATTCACATCTAGAAATTCTTTCAGGAACCCCCAAATCCCAAAGAATCAGTAAAAAGACTGTGGCATCAAAATTGTAATAATGATGCACCATATAGGTTATTGCCAACAAGAGACATGCCCATGTTCGTTGAGAAGATATCCCTGACTTCTAACCCTTTTATTTAGCATTTTAATTAGTGATATCAAAGAGTTTAGTTAACAACTAGTTCACCAACTAGTCAGTTTAGGGCCCTACCAACTGCATCACAAACTAATCAGCAATAATCATCCCAGCCTTCGTGATCTTATGTTCTTAAGATGCCTACTGATTATCTTTGAAGCTATGTCAGGCTTGAAGATAAACTTTCAAAAGAGTGAGGTGATCCTGGTAGGGGAGGTAATTAATATTGATGATCTTGCTGCTTCCTTAAGCTATAGAAGAGGTTCACTTCCTACCAAGTTATTGGGTTTACCGTTGGACGCCAGTTACAGAGCCAATGAAATATAGGACCCTGCAGTGGAGAGGATGAGGCATAAGTTCGCTGGTTGGAAGAAAGGGTATCTCTCTAAGCAGGGAAGGTGGTTCTCATCCAGAGTGCCCTATCAAACTTCCTAATATATTATTTATCTTTGTTTCAGACTCTGGATTTAGTGGTCCAAGCAATAGAAAAGTTGAGAAGAGATTTTTTGTGGGAAGGTAAAGATGAAGAGAAGAAATTCCACCTTATGTCGTGGCCCGTGGGATGAGACTTATCAGTAGAAAGTTCATGGAGGCATTCGTATTCGTTTTATCCACCCGATGAACAATGCTCTCCTTTCTAAGTTGTCATAGCAATTTGACTCTGAGAAGGACAAATTATGGCGTAAGTTGATCTGCAGTAAGTATGGTGAGGCTGGTCTAGGTTGGGAATCTAATCCTCCGAAGAATCATATGGATCTAGTGTGTGGAAGGGCATCATGAAGAATGGGGATCTCTTCATCAGTTTTCACTCATTCAAATCTGGAGATTGGGAGAAAATCTATTTATGGAAGGATATTTGGTGTGGAAGCAGACTTGTATATCTTTCCTTCCAAGTATTTATGCTCTGGCTCTAGATAAAGAGGCCAAGGTGAAAGACTGCTACGAATCAATGGCAATCATATTGTCTGATGCCCAAGGCTTAGAAGAAACATAGGTGATAGGGACGTGGAAAATCTGGCTTCTTTTCTGGGGGCATTGGACAAGGCTACTACCAGTCCTCTTTCCCACAATCAGAAGTGGTGGACAGGTGACCATTCTGGCATTTTTTAAGTCAAATCTCTGTCCCAATCCCCCTCTGGTTTAAATAGAGAGATGGAGGCATGGCGGTGGATTTGGAAGCTCAAGATTTCATCTAAGGTGTCATTTTGACAGCCATCAAAGGAAAAAAATATTCACACAATAGACAATCTGAGATCAAAAGGAAGGTCATCATAAACTAATGCTACTTATGTGGTCAGGCCGAGGAATCTGTCCACAACCTTCTTCTCCAATGTGAATTTTCTCACTCGGTCTAGGTTTATTCCTTGAAGTTGTTCAGCAAGGTGTTGGTGCCACACCCCCACCCCTATCTTCAAGTCTTGTTTTCAGTGTGGCAGGCCAAATTGTTTAGTAAGCAAGGGGGCATCCTATAGGAAATTGTCCATACTGTCTTATTCTGGTATATATGGAAAGGAAAGGTATAGCAGGGCTTATTTATCAAAAAAAAAAAAGGTATAGCAGGGCTTTCGAGGACCTCAGCTCCTCTGCAGAAGTAGTTTGTGGGAAAGCTGAGAGATGCTTAATTAGATGGGCTACTATCAGAAAAGAATTTTTCGGGCTGAAGTATATGCACTTTTGTAACAACTGGGAGAGGCTAATTTGGGAGGTTTTGCATTCTGTTTTGTCCTTGTGCTGTGTTTTTGAAAAATATAATGGAAGCTTGTATTAATCTTGATATGATTAGGTATTTATAATGTATTACAGAAGACTCTAGAAGTTAAGTTACAACAGAAACAGAATTGTAACGTGGACTCTATAACAGAATTGTACACATGGATAACAGATTCTGTAATACTCCCCCTCAAGTTGGAGATGGAGGAGGACCGACACCCAACTTGGATTTTAACGTTTGAAACTGATCATTGCCCAAGGCCTTGGTGAAGACATCAGCTGGTTGGACTTTGGTGGAAATGTGAGACGTAGCAATGGTCCGAGCTTGGATATGTTCTCGGACAAAGTGACAGTCAATCTCAACATGCTTTGTTTGCTCATGGAACACTGGGTTGGAAGCAATATGTAGGGCTGCCTTATTATCACAGAAGACAATCATGGGTTGAATATGGCTTAATCCAAGGTCATGAAAGAGTCTCTTAAGCCAAATCAGTTCACTAGTTAGAGCAGCCATGGAACGGTATTCTGCTTCCGCTGAAGACTTTGAGATTGTAGGTTGCTTACAAGTCTTCCAAGAAATAGGTGAAGAGCCCAACATAGTGAAGTAACCTGTTGTTGATCGCCTAGTGACAGGACATCCTGCCCAGTCTGAATCACAGTAACCACGAATGACTAGGTCATTGTTGGCAGGGAGAGAGATACCATGATCTGGTGTGGACTTCAAATATCTAAGAACATGAATTGCAGCATCATAGTGGGCTTGTTTAGGCTTGCTCATGAACTGGTTGAGGACATGTACTGAATATGTGAGTTCAGGTCTGGTAATTGTTAAATAGATCAAACGTCCAACCAGTCTCCAATATCTATCTGGGTGTGGAAATAGAAGTCCTTCCGCAAGAGCTAGTTGTTGTTGTTGAAGCATAGAAAAAGAACTAGGACGACACCCAAGCATGCCCATCTCAAATAAGATGTCTAGAGTTTATTTCCTTTGGCAAAGAAAGATACCGTCTGAAGACCTGGAGATTTCAATGCCAAGGAAGTACCGAAGTGCTCCAAGGTCTTTAATGTGGAAGCAACTACTGAGATAATTTTTTAGTCAAGCTATGCGATTGGAATCATTTCCGGTAATGATTATATCATCGACATATACAAGAACTGCCAAGAAACTATTTGGCCGAGAAGAAACAAACAATGTGCAATCAGCTGTAGACTGAAGAAATCCATGATGCTTTAATGCTATGGCCAATGTGTCAAACCAGTTGTGTGTCGCTTGTTTGAATCCATAGATTGATTTTTGAAGATGACAAACTCATGTGTCACCAGTTGGTAAGAAACCCGGAGGTGGCACCATGTAAACTTCCTCTCATGAGCCACCATGCAAAAAGGCATTACTTACGTCCATTTGGTGAAGATCCCAATGACAGGTTGCAACCAAGGCTAAGAGGCATCTCACTGTAACCAACTTTGCCACAAGAGCATAGGTGTAGTTGTAATCAACTCTAGGAGTTTGGGTATAACCTTTGGCGATTAATCTGGCTTTGTAACGATTAATAGTCCCATCAGGTTTGAGTTTGAGCTTATATATCCACTTGCAACCCACTGGGGATTTTTCCGGTGGTAAGGAAGTTAAAGTCCAAGTACCGTTCCAAGTAAGAGCTGTTAATTCATCTTGCATGGTTTGTTGCCAGTTGGGATGTGTAGCGGCTTCAGCATAGCTTCGTGGTTCCGTGGTGTTTAACAAGGCAGATGAATGGGCTGATGGTGAAGGCCCAATAAAATGTGATATGGGATGTTGTGTGTTGGGGTTTGGTTGACCATTGGAATGTAAGGCGAGACAGATAAACTCTTGGAATCACTTGGGAGGTCGAATGGGGCGATAGACCAACGTATAGGTGGAGTGAGAGTGATGTTAGGTTCTACTTCAAACCCATTGATGACTGGGGAAGGCTCATCATGGGCTATAGCGGGCTGATGATTATGGGTTGCAATGGTATCAACAGGAGTATCACCGGTTATAGGAAGTGGTACCACTGGTTGATCAGAAGTCTATGGGGTATTCGGGATGTTTAAGAAGGGAAATTGATCCTCATAGAAATGAACATCCCGTGAAACAAAAAACTCCTTATTACCAAGGTTGAACAGCCGGTACCCTTTTTGTCATTGTGGTAGCCCATGAAAACACGACGATGGGCCCGCACAACAAATTTATCATGGGGTTTGCCTTGCACTCGAGCATAACATAAACAACCGAACACCCTCAAGTGGTTATATGTAGGAGGCTTACCATGCAGCATCTCATAAGGGGATTTTCCATGCAACTGTGGTGTAGGCAAGTAATTTATTAATAAGGTGGCAATAAGCACACATTCGCCCCAAAATTGTATTGGAAGCCCAGCTTGGAACCGCAAGACACGTGCCATTTCAAGTAAATGGCGGTGTTTCCGCTCCACTACCCCATTCTGTTGAGGGGTGTCAACGCATGTTCGCTGATGAAGAATACCATTGTGTTGAAAATAAGTCTGAATGGGTTCAGACAAGAACTCAAGCCCATTATCGGATCTGATTGTCTGAACCGAGGTGTGAAATTGAGTCTTAATCATTTCACAAAACATAGTGAGAAACTGTAAAGTGTCTGACTCACGTATCATTAAATAGACCCAAGTGGCTTGACTATAGCCATCTACAATAGAGAGAAAATAACAAGCTCCAGAGTGGGATGGCACCCAATAACCTCCCCAAATATCACAATGAATAATTTGGAAAGGTGCAGTGCTTTTATTATAGCTAAGTGGAAAATGGTAATCTTGTAAGCTTAGCACGATTACATGCATCACAACATACAGTAGTTACAGGTGGGGAAACATGGAGTTCTTGAATCAATGATAATTGATCATAGGCAACATGTCCTAACCTCTAATGCCACAGTTGAGAATTAAGATCAATTGAACTAATATGTAAGGTTGTAGAGTTTGGTAGCCCAGTAAAGCGGTAGAGACCATCCCTCATTTCAGCCACTCCAATCGGCTTCTTGGTGGTCAGATCCTGTAGGACACAAAATGTGGGAAAAAAACAAAGCCACACAATTCAGTTGATTAGTGAGTTTGCTCACAGATACCAGATTGCAATTAAAATCCGGAACAAGGAGAGCATTCTCTAGACGAATATGATCAGTAATCTTGACAGATCCTTGAGCTTGTACAGGCACTACAGTGCCATTGGGTAGATAGACTGGTTTATGGACATTGGCTGATTGTGTATCAAGAGCCATATCGGACTGTGCACCAATCATATGGTCCGAGGCTCTTGTATCCAGAATCCAACTAAAAGAATGTAAAAAAGTTGACAAGCATGAGCCTTACCAACATAATTTGCTGCAGTAGTATGTTTTTCTGAGTTCAAAAGATCCATCAGTTGTTGATAGTGATCAAGACTTAAACCAGCAATGGGAGAAACTGAGTTTGAATGTCCAATTGTTTGAGTCACCTTCTTCGAGGAATTCTTGTCTGTTAACTTGCTAGACGCAGATTTCCTTTTGTCTACCCAACCTGGTGGGTAACCCAGGTTTTCATAGCACCGGTCCGTCATGTGTCCATTGTGCTTGCAGTGGTCACATCTGAATTTCGGACGGACAGATTCATCTTGGAGTTTCGATGATGCAGCATTCACATGCATTGCTGTTGTTTCGACAACAGGTACTCATTGAGACGAGAGACTTTGGTGACGTTCTTCTTGCACGCTCAGTGCGTAAATGCGACTGACATTAGGCAAGGGATCAAGACTGAGGATGTAGGAGCAAACAGTGTTAAAATTCTCACTCAATCCCATCAAGAACTGATACGCTTTCTCCTTTTCACGTTCAGCAACAAATTCTTTTGCTGCACCTCCACATGAGCAGGTTGGGATTGAATTATAGGTTGCTAATTCATCCCATAAGGCTTTGAACTTCGTGAAGTAAGCTGAAACAGAGAGATTCTCCTGTCGAAGCAGTGCTAAGTCTCTCTTGAGTTGAAAGATCCGAGGGGCATTTTCTTGTGAGAATCGCTCTTCCAGATCATGCCAAATCTCATGAGCAGAGTTGACATACGCCACACTTTCATGTAATTCACAGGACAGGGAGTTGAAAATCCAAGAAATGACCATGGAAATGCATTTATTCCAGGCCAGTTCTTGAGCAGATGACTTTTCTGGTCTCCTGATCGTCCCGTCCACAAAACCAAGCTTGTTATTGGCACACAATGCATATTCGCATTGCTCTGTTCCTGGTGGAGTAGTTTTCTCCATTTAATGGACAGGAAACTAAGATTGCACCTGGATTATCTGAGGGATGCAGAAAGAAAAGAGAGGTTGGATCAGAGGTAGCATCTGAACCACCAGTTGCAGCGCAGGCAGCCATTAATTCCGGCGATTTGTAGATACAGACAAGGAACGGATCGAGAGCCTGAGGAGCTCTGATACCATGAGAAATATAACGGAAGCTTGTATTAATCTTGATATGATCAGGTATTTATAATGTATTACAGAAGACTCTAGAAGTTAAGTTACAACAGAAACAGAATTGTACATGTGGACTCTATAACAGAATTGTACACATGGATAACAGATTCTGTAATAGTTTCAGCCTCCCATCCTTCTCATTGTAGCCTTTCTTTGAGAGGATCTCTCCCTCTTTTTAATGAAATCCTAACTTTCAAAAAAAAATGATGTGGTCACATATCTGACTTCTACCAGATTAATTACCAGAAGAAAACTTGCATTCTATTTGTGAGCCAAAGTGTAAGGATTATCATGCAATATATCCACGAGTGGGATATATTGAGGATATGCGCCTTGAACGTACCAAATATAATGGAAAATCTGAGGAAATAGGGGAAAGAGAGGGGAACAATGTAAAGTTTTCTTAGCTTAACAATTTATGTATTACAAGAAAATATTAGGATCAAGAAGATAAACTACCCATTAACCCAAAATATTTTTTATATGCAAAGGTATTATAAATGGGTCATGGCATTGCTGCTGCACGTAGTTATCATACTAAGCCCGACCGCCCAAGTCACCATGTTATGATTCCAACCAGGTTTTCAGCAGAAGTTCACTTGCATACAACTTTTGGCTGTTAATTATTACACCCCAATTGATGGATGGTAGCCCTTTCTCCAACTTTTCAACCATAACAATGAAAACTAAACTCCCAAGATTTTGTTATAAAAGGGACAACAATAGTACCTAAATTATTTCAGTCTGATACTCTCTTATATTCACACTTAGATTTACTTTTAATGCCAAGGTTCCTTCAAAACTTTAGTGATACCCGAAGGTTCATCATCATGCCATTTGTTTCATAAGAAACAACAGGCATTAGTTATTTATCAAAAAAAAAAAAAAAAAAAAACAACAGGCAATAGTATCATCAATGAACTTGAGGCAAGATACATTCATCCCACTAGCCACTATATTGGTACTTGAGTGCAAAGGCAAGAAATTGCATGATTGTTGTCATGGACCACATCAAGCAATCCAAAATGAAAATAACTTCAACAGGGTTTTTATTTCAGCCCCTTTTTTCAGTAACAGAACCACTTTTTTTTTTTTTGATAATTGGCAGAACCGCTTTATTAATCATCTCAAAAAGTAAAAACTGAAGAAGGAATATACAAATCGGGGCCCAACCAATGGACCCATCCCCAGCCTTCCAAGAAGACCACCCAAGACTGATTACTGAAGAAGGAATATACAAATCAGCTCCCAGATATAATTTTCTTTTCTAGCCAGTAGCCACCCTGACATAGCTAAACTATCAGTTAATCAACTTTACCAGTCTTGTTTCTACTTCCCACTACCAAATAACAAATGAACTCCTCACATACAAATTACTATATATATATATATATATATCCCGGTGGCTAAGTCCATATCAAGTCCACCCTCCCAAGGCCCAGGATAGATGGGACCAGCATTGGGCAGTGGCCTTCATTAAATACACTAGTTACAAAAGAAAAGTTCAATAGTACGTATAACATATCAATTAATGACAAGTTGCCTCTGCCATCCTGAAAAAAAAGTGCAAAATTTAGTTGTAGGCATTCTTTATTTATGCGTTTGTGTTCAGTAATCTACACTATTTTATTGTTTTCATTATTCTATCCATTCTTTATTCATCCAACAGGTTTTCTTTCACTGGTATCATCAATAACTGTAAGCTGTCAAGAATATTAACAAATATTCCTCCATTAATGTAGCAAGCTTTGACAAGGAAGCTGAGGATTAAAAAATATGGTTTTTAGCAGACCAAGCAACTAATAGTCAACAACGAATAGTCAAATACAGTCAATCATACACACACAAACTAAAAGATAAACTGCCCAAGCTATGTACTCACGCTTCTTCTAAATCAATAACCTTAATCGCAACAACTTTGTTGAGCTCCTTGTCAAACCTGCAAAGCAAGAAAAGGTATAACAGGAACGTAAATCAACTGGTGAAGGGAATGAAAAATGGAAAGCAAGTTTCTTCAATTTCTCCCAATGTCCTAGTTTTCTATTGATAACATTTTTCAATATCATAACAAGACCATAGCTAGTTGACAGAAGTAGAGAAATTTTATTATTAAAAAAAAAGGGAAAACTAACCTCTCAAAAATTAAACACAAATATGTCAGAGACCCATACACTGCCATCTATTTCTTCCATAAAGCAAATCAAAACATTGACCATCTACATAACCCAGAGATGAACAAATTTGCTATGTTTAGAATTCCAAGCAGCCAACACGATTTCTAACTTATGGGAGAAATACGCTGTTACATTATCACAACTATTATCCAATGAACTGGTGTTAACATGGTAAGCAAATCGTAGCATCATGGAGCCTTTAGATCACAAAAGGATAAAAATACAAAATACCCATAACTCTCATGTATATGCACAGAAGACACTGTTTATATTTTGTCCTTTTGTAATTCAAGGGCTTTATAATGGACAAAACTCAATGCAATCAACATTGCTCTATTTTGTTTCCTCTGAAAAAGTAGCACAACGCAAGGCATTGCAAGATGTTATCTTTCTGAAACAAGTAATTAGAGTCACCCAAGTCCTTATTCCATTGCTCTTGATGAAGTTGCACAACAAAATGTGACAATGAGTGAGAGACACCTAGATTTGTCTTTTATTTTGAGAGAGAGAAAGAGAGAGAGAAGGTAAAGTAGGGAAATTCATTAACCAAAAAGAACCCCTGTGCAACTAGAGGATGTACATAGGAAATGTACAAAAGACTGCTAAGAACACACAAAAAAAATCAGTCCTTGATTGTACATAGGAATTTTCATTTAATAACCAAAGGTTCATCTGTAAAACAGTTCAATCTCTTCTTTCTTTATAGTTATCTTACATCATCATAAGAAGTCATTATGAAAAACTAAGAGAGAGAGAGAATGCATACATACATCAGCATCAAATAGTTGATAGTTGTTATTTTTCAGCCACCCAAGAACACATTTAATTTGTATCACAAATCATCTTTAATTTATATTAATGACATCAACTGATCCTTTTTTGTGGATAATTCTGACATCAACTGATCATTGACAGTCTGTTCAGTTAATTTCAACAATTTCATCTGGTAGTCCAAAGTGATAAGAAGACACATCAAGAACTAAGATCCATAGTTGTCAAGGCGACGCCTAGGCGACAAGGTGCCCTTGGAGTCTCGCCTCGCCTAATCGCCAAGCAGTTTTCTATAGCATGTTATAACAAACTTTTATATTCTTAATTTTTTGAGGTTATAATTATAAAAAAGACATTTTTTTTATTTTGATCAATGAATTATCAGATTTATTAAATCAAAGCCAAAGATAGTACAAATTAGGGAGAGGCACGAGATGCTACCTCCCCTTTAAGGAGGGGAGATGGAAGAGACCATCAACCCTTTAGTTAAAGAACAAAACAAAGGAAAAAGAAAATTACAGAGAAGCCCAATACAATGAAACCCGAGTAGCCCCTTGTTTAGCAAGATAATCAGCCAAGGCATTAACTGATCTACCCGACCACTAAACTCTAACTGTCGTGCCCCTCAATAGCCATTTGACCTTTTTTAAGATATCCTTAAAGTTCCAAGTGACAGTACCCGGGTCAGCCAACCATCCTACTACCACCTTAGAGTTTCCTTCAATTATTGAGTTTTGCACTCCAAGTTGATAAGCAATCTGTACCCCCTGTGCCGCAGCTAGGAGTCCAGCCCTCACAGAGTCTCCTATTCCCACCTTTCCCGAAAAAAAGGCAATGATGTTGCTGTTCTCATCTCTCAGTACACCATCAACCCCAGACAGTCCTGGGTTACCCTGACTACTCCCGTCAAAGTTCAGCTTAACAAAACCCTCCATCGACGGAGTCCAAGTTACTTGAACTCTAGGCTTCCTAGAGGAAGTGAGGGCATGACAGTTTGTTAGGATCAAGAAATTTGAGGGTTCAATACAGCATTTTGTGTGTTTATATACTAATTTCTTTTTATTATTTTTTTATTTGTTAGGGTTTAATCAACACAAGCATTGCTAAATGCTGTATTGAACCCTCAAAGACTTCAAAACCTGAACCAATAAGTAAGAAAGAACATAAAATGTTGTCCAATCAACACATTTTCTTCTTTTTCTTTACTAATTTTGTATTTTTATATACTAATTTCTTCTTCTTCTTCTATAACAGAAATAGGGGTTCAGCCTATATATTTTTCAAATTTTCTTTTCTTTCTTCTTTTTCTTCTCATGAATATGTTGGAACCTTTTCTTTTCCTCTTTCCTATAACAGAAATAGGGATTCAGCCTCTATATTTTTCAAATTTTCTTTTCTTTCTTCTTTTTCTTCTCATGAATATGTTGGAATATGTTGATTTTCTATACTTTAACATGAAATTTATACTTTTCTTATGAAAATCATGGATATTTATTAAGGAAATATGATTACGAAACCTAGGGAACCACCCTAGGATACATGTTTTTACTTAAAAAAATCCATTGCCTAGGCAACTAGGCACCCTTGTCGCCTAGCCTCGCCTTGGCTCCTTGAAAACTATGCTAAGACCTTCATTTGTAAATCATAGAGGACATTAAACTAAATCAAATTGAATCATGAATAGTATTGTATACCATTAGATTAATTCTATTTTTAGGAATTTGTCAAAAAGATGAGTATACATAATGCATAATAGTAAAAACATAAATATGTAAAAAAATGAATCTATATTCTCCATGTATGTTTTTAATAAAACAAAGTTTACCACTTATACATTATAAGCACGATATGAAACAATCCAGTTTTGACCTCAAAGTCAATTAACCTACAAATCATGGTTCTTTAACCTGATATAATGTAAAATAAACCAAAAAGGTCTTTGAATAGGTTTCAGTCAACTCAAATAAGTCTTATTCTAGGATGGGTTTCAAAAAAAAAGCCCATTTAAAATTAAAAAAAATAAAAACAAAGTATAAGACTGGATCCCAGTCAAATTGATCCAATTTATATGAATCAAAGAAATTATAAGATTCACAAATCAATTTTCAGGATTCAAACAATAATAATAAGATCTTTCAGGGATAAAAAAAGATTTCAATCATAAGATTCAAATTGGAACCTTGGGGTCCACAATTTGAATCATGAACATTGGAATATTTTGGCAGCATTGTTTATAAGGCTTCAATATTCTTTTTTAGATCGGAATTCATACAGCTTCAATATTTAAAAGATGAAAAAAGAAAGAATTTATGCTGACATCGGACATAGAATCAAAGAGTTGGTAGTTGTTGCTATTCAGCCATCCAAGGACACTTTTTAATTTGTACCATCAAATTGCCTAAACTCACATTAATGACAGAAACCGATCATCAATATGTGTGTTCTGTGCTTGAGTGGATCACTCCGGAGGCAGGTAGATTAAATTTCAACTATCATGGCTGCAGTTTGGCTACTCTGGGTCAATCTGATGTGGGAGGTGTTTATAAGAGATCATAATGGCAATGTTTTGCTCAGCTTTTTTTATTAGCAAAAGGATTTTACTAATAATTTCAGAAAATTTAGTACAGTCATTAGGCAATCCACCAGCCCAAGTCAATGTTTTAGAAGCCGTGGGAGGTATACGCCTGGAGGCGCACTTCCAGGTGAGGCGCTCCCAAAACGCCCTAATGTCACGGGGGTAGTTCTACAGCAGAAGAAACCCGTGCGGCGTCCAGGCCAAGGTAGGCCAGAACAAGCCTTTCTGCGCTTAGAGGCTAGGAGTTGCCCGATGGGATGGCTCCACCAACGTCAGTAGCACTGGATCATGACCTCAAGTCCAATGGCCAGGGCACTCTCCTGGCTTAGACCGGTCCATGGGAGGCGCCGCTTACGTGCTAAAGGGGGACAACCATAATGCAAGGCGACTGGGCACCGATGTGAAGGGTCTCCTGTATGCCGATGATGGCAAGCACCTGTGTGCCATG